GGGGCGGTCCCCCCGAGGGGCCGGGGAGGGGAAGAGGAAAAAAAAAAAACCCCCCCCCCGCCGGTGTATCGCAATTTTTCTACATAATCAGTCTTCGTCTGTCGGGATCGAGTTTATAGAGATCTGAAACTTCCTCTTCCTCACGAAGTTGGACGAGCAGCCGATTCTGGAGCTCGGGATCATGGCGCCACTTATTTTATTATTTTTCTTATTTATTTCTTGTTGGGTTAAGATGCACCTAATGAGCATCTTAGTAGCACCGCCACTTATTTTATTATTTTTCTTATTTATTTCTTTTTGGTTTAAGATGCACCTAATCCAAAATTTTATAAGAGATTAAATTGCCAATGTAGTCTCCTGACTATTTACATGAGCTCATTTTATCTCAGTCTATAAAAGTGTCAAATTAGTCCCCCCACACTCTCTTAATATCTCTAATATTTTAGCTTCTATTAAAAGAGTCTCCGAATTAAATTGGTATTTTTATAAACTTTGAAATTAAAATGGCCCCTGCAAAGAGCAAGGAGACCATTTTGACTTGTTCCTCTTTCATAAAATATCCATTTTTTAATATAGAGAATCTAAAACTATGCATGCTGATAATTCCAAATTTCTGGTGCATCTTAATGATTTTTTCAGGTGCGACCGCATACTTTGGCACGGTGACGGGATCATTCAGTTGTCATACATTCGTGGCGAATCCAGATTTTCTGACCATCGACCAGTGTGTGCAATTTTTAAGGTGGAGGTTGGAGTTCTTAATGATGGAATAAGGAAGAGCTTTTCTGTTCCCAACATGAGAGTTGGAGTGGAGGAGCTTTTACCTGCAAACAATAACAGCAGGACTGCCAAAGAAAGGTAAGGTGGTTGCTTATATCTGTAGTGATGTTTGTGCTTAAACGAATGCCAACTATTCCGTCTTCTTAGCTTTGCTATAATTTGGATTAGATTGAAGGGTCACTTTCTTAATTTTCATTTGTTCAGGGGGTAACCGATTCTTATGTTTTATAGCTCGAGTTGATCGTAGTGTCTATTAGAAGCTTTATGTGCCATAATTATATGTGATTTCATGTAAGCATAAATGCATCAAATTTCCAACCGTCAATGTTGAGATTTATATCTAATACAAGGATTGTATTTATAAATAGAAGAAATTTAAGAGTTTGTTTGTAAATATTACATAGCTCAAGAAAATTTTAATTGTAAAATCATATCAGAGTTTTATATAATCGGAAAATATATTACGTCCGGCAGACGGAGGACAAAGGATGCGATTCACCCGAGGAGCCGAGGAGCCGAGGAGCGGAAGATGAGAAAAAAAACCCCTCACCCGCCGGTGTATCGGAATTTTTCTATGTCGGGATCGAGTTTATAGAGATCCAAAACTTCCTCTACCTCACGAAGTTGGACGAGCAGCCGATTCTGGGTTCGGCATCATGACATACGACAGACGAATCCGCTGATCTGAAGAGCGGGGTCTGAGGTGTCTGTAGCCAACAAGAAGGTGAACAGCGACGTGCAAAGCTTGGTAAGCCTGTTGAGGCGCCGTCGTCGGAGGTTTTGGAAGGTAATTTCCGGCCGTAACTTAATTGCCGAGGATGTAGAAACTGATGTCGTCTCGCCCGTCGCCGCCAACACCAACCGCATCATCGCCCCTGAATCGCAACCGTTGGCTGCCTTCCTCAAGATCATCCGATTGAGCAAGTATGGGTCCGTTTTCTTGAGCTGGCTCGAGGGTTAAGAAACGTGAGGTACCAGAGCGTGATTTGGAGATACGTGGACCGGTAGATCATGCGTTTGGTTGGCTTGAACAGGAGAGGCAGAATTTCCTCTTTGCATTTTCTATCGGGACACCTGAAGTAACTCTAGGTGCGGTGTAGGTTATTCCTGAGTTATTTTCAGATTATTTCTGGGTTATTTTCAATAATCTCGAAATAATTCAGAAATAACCCAAAAATAAATATCTTCTGGGTTATTTCAGTATTATTGAAAATAACCCATAAATAACACCTGAAAATAACTCAAGAATACTCTGCGCCGCACGTAGAGCTACGTCAGGAGTCCGCACAGAAAAATTTTTGCCACGAGAGGGTGTCGAAGAGAAGCATTGAAGGTTTCAAAGCTTGTACCGAGATCGTTTTTGCTTTGTCCAAGTGGGAGAGCTGTTGTTGTGGGACTTCTGTTGCTGCTGCTTTTTTCTGTGTGTGATCAATATTGATCCTTGTGATTAAGGTTGTCAGGTGACAAATATATTATGGGAGGTAAAGGATTGTAACTTTTGGGAAAGATGAATCATGAAGTTTTGAAGGTCTTGGTAAAGCTCTTACAGGGAGCCACTACCTCAGCACGTGTTCCAGCGCAGTCGAGTGAACTTTCAGAAATGTGATCAGCTTTAGCTCAGGTAGGATAGATGCTTAGGGGGAGACCCGCATGTGCTACAACTGCAAAGAAGCAGAACATCTGAGCAAAGCATTTCTAAAGCCACCCAAGGAGAGAGAGAGATGAGTGGACATGGATCGTCTAGAGGGGGCTACCAGGCAAATCTGATGGTTACAGAGAACAAGGAAAAGACAAGGATTTCTTTATCGATGAGGATCGCAATTTTCTGGAGATGTTGAAGAGGAAACAGAGTGCAGAATGTGATGTCACTGAGAATAAATTTACCTTATCGTCGTCCAAGGGGAACACTACTAGTTATGCTCACTTAGCTAAAGGTACTTGTGATACACATGTTTTTGTTTCTGTATCCACCATAAGTTCACTAGAATTGATAGTAGATTTTGGTGCATGTCATCATGTTACTAGTGGCGCTAGTGATTTCTCTTCCTATACCCACCTAACAATTCCAGAGAACATTCAGATCACTGATGGGGCAACACAGCCTGTGGTTAATAATGGTACTGTGAGGTGTACCATGCTTATTCCTTTTCAGTGAACTTTTATCCATTAGTGTCATTCTACTGCAACTAAAATGTGTTGCTTCATTTGATATTCTAATTGTGATCTTTTAAGAGAAGGGGAATGACTTGAAACTTGGGATAGACACGTGGTGTAGTGGATTTTGGTACTTATATAGAGAGGTAATGGACTCAGCTTTGGCATCTATGGTTGAGAATGATGGAGCAGGAGGATCTGAGAGGAGTGGAGGATGTATAGATGCTATTTCACATGTGCATGGGATACTCTTAGTTTAAATCTATCGAGTCGTGTATCCATCATTGTATAAAAAGGTAAATAAACAAAAACTTGTATGTCATGTCTGTGAGTTTGGCAAGCATATCAGGAGTTCTTATGTTAGTTCTGATAAAAAGAGTTCTTATATTTTTGATTTGGTGCATTTAGATGTATGGGAACCTTGCTTTACAACTTCGATTGATGGTTACAAATATTTTGTCACTTTCATTTATTGTTTTTCTTATGTTACTTAGTTATATCTGATGAGAAATAAAAATGATGTGTTTGTCTGCTTAGGGTGATTCAAATTCAATACGGTGTCATAGTGAAGAAAGACTTTCACAGGGTGATTCAAACTCAATACGGTGTCACAGTGAAAGTATTGAGATCTGATAATGGGACAAAGTATATCAATAAGATGTTTGAAGAATATTTGTCAGCCCAAAGGATTCATCATCAAACTATATGTTTGTACACTCTGACACAAATCAGAGTGGCAGAAAGAAAGAACAGACACATTTTAGAGGTAGCTCGAAACATGATGTTCATGATTAATGTCCCAAAGCACTTGTGGGGGCAAACTGTTTTGACAATAACTCAATTGATTAATAGAATGCCCTCAAGTGTGTTGGATTGTAAGTCTCCTTGTTAGATGTTGAAAGGAGATAATAGTGTGACCATTCCATTAAAGGTATTTAAATGTGTATGCTTTGTCAAAAACAATAGGTCATCTGCAGGGAAGATGGAACGCAAAACTATGAAATGTGTGTTCGTGGGGTTATCTGCTACTTAGAAGGGTTGTGTATGCTGGAGCCCGATCAAGACGTGAATCTTTGTGAGTATGGATGTGTCATTCAGAGAGTTTGATCATACTATACTTTGGAAGTGAATCCACCGTTCGGTGACTCAACAACTACTAGAAATACAAGGCAAGAGAGAGTGTGTAGTAGTAGTAGTGATGAAGTGGTGCAAGTGGGAGAAATGTTTTGTCCGGTGATGTGGGATGAATCAACTGAAGAGACAAAAATCGAGGAAATTGGCCTCAGTGGTTGTTGGATTCAAACTGAAGGTGAGTTAAGGGTGTCAATAAGTTTTTTGTCTCGGTTTTTCCCAACTCTTGAGACACCTACATCATCCACCTTTGATTCAGAACTCTCAGGTGATATTATTTCTACTCCATCTACTTTTATCCCCCAACGTTAAGGAGGTCCCACCCGCAGCAATGTGAGACATCCTCCTGATCGTTTTGGGTGGGAACTTGACATTGCAAATTTTGTTTTTTATTCTAAAATCTCACATTTGCATAAAGCATTCGTTGCATCATTAAACTATGTCTTTATACCCAAGTGCTGACAGGTTGCTAAAAAGCATCCTAAGTGGAAAGCGGCGATGCATGAGGAGCTTGGAGCTCTTGATAAAAACAAACATGGTAGATTGTACCACGACCAACAGGGAAGAAGACAGTTAGATGCAAGTGAATCTTCACGGTAAATCAAACTCTAGAAGGGGTGATGGAGTGATACAAAGCATAATTAGTGACAAAAAATTATAGTCAAACGTATGACACTGACTACAATGAAATCTTTGCTCCAGTAGCAAAGATGAGCACAGTGAGGACACTGGTTTTGCTGGTAGTGAATGGTGGATGGAGACTCCACCAACTGGATGTGAAGAATGTTTTTCTTCACGGGGAGCTACTGGAAGAGGTGAATATAGAGATATCACTGGGATTCAGCACATCCCAGACATTGGGCAAGGTGTGTAGGCTCAGGAAGTCACTATATGACTAAAAGCAATTTCATCATGCTTGTTTTGAGAAGTTTAGAATGATGATGGTTAGCATGAGAAACCAGCAGATCAATGCAGACCACACGGTGTTCTTTCGGCAACATGAATGTCACACTATCATATTTATTGTGTATTTGTATGAAATAATTATCACAGATTGCTCAACTAATCTAGGACAAGCTTAGATGCTTGCTTGGGATTGATGGAGTTGAGAGAATGATCACGTCCCAGAGAAAGTATGTACTGGATCTTCTCACGAAGACATGTATGCGGGGGTGCAAATTTACAGTTTCTGCAATTGAACAGAAGGTCAGGCTCATTATAGAGGCAGGTGAATTAGTTGATCGTGAGAGGTACAAAAGGTTGGTGAGCCGCTTGATCTATCTGTGCCACACTCGACCCGATATTTTTTTTTTGTAGTAAGTGTGGTGAGTCACTACATGCGTGATCCAAGGAAGGGTAATATGGATGCAGTGTATCAAAAGCGTGCACTAGGAAAAGGGTTGATATTCAAGAAGAATGGGCATGTAGATATTGAGGGCCTTTGTGATTTTGATCAGGCAAATTGTGTTGATGACAAAAGATTCACCTCAGTATACTGTATGTTTGTAGGTGGCAACTTGGTCTCGTGGAAGAGCAAGAAATAGTAATTTGTAGCAAGATCAACAACAGAGTCTAAATACAAGGCTATGGCTTTAGGAGTTGCTGAGATGATGTGGCTGAAAGCCTTGTTGGTTAAACTCAAAGTGGATTATGGAACTCAAATGAAGTTGTTGTGTGATAACATGTCTGCAATCAACATTACTAACAACCCGATGCAACACGGTAGAACTAAACTTGTGGATACTGATAGATTTTTCATCAAGAAGAAGTTGAATAACGGATTGTTGGAACTAAGTCATATAGCTGTTAGAGAGCAGATGGCTGACTACCTCATTAAACGACTTAGCACAGTGGAGTTAATTAGATTATGAGTGTTGAGATTTATATCTAATGTAGGGTTCTATTTGTAAAAAGAAGTCTAGGGGTTTATGTATAGATATTGTATGACTCTATAAAGTCAAGAACGTTAATGAAATAAGTAAGTTTTAATTGCAAAATCATTCCAACCGTCAAAATCTCTCCCATGACCAGGCCCTTAGTTTTAATTGCAAAATCATTCCAACTGCCATAATCTCTCCCATGACCAGGCCCTTATTCTT